GGTAACCCACTTACTTAGATAGACTTGATTAGGCTTTTTCCCTAGCTTTTCCTTTCTTTTTCTTCTTTCTTTCTTTCCTCTCTTTTCTCTCTTTCTTTGCCGTTTTCTCTCCCTTTTTGTGTAGCTACGGGATGCCTAAAATTTTCTTGCCACTTTCACTTATTCTATATATATATATATACATGCTTAAAATCTTAGTACTAATTAAGCATACAAATATCTTAATTTAATTTAAGAGAGTGGAAATCTTAGTACTAATTAAGCGTACAAATATCTTAATTTAATTTAAGAGAGTGGAAAGTAATTGGTGAGTCAAGAGAGAGAGAGTGGCCGGTTTGATGGGTTTAGGGTGAGCTGGCCATAATTCATTAATTAAGGGGGCTTATGTGTCCTAACTAATTGGTTAGACTAACTAAACACCCTAATTAACTTAGTTTCAAGTAACTAACATAGTTTCCTTCATGAATTTTTCAAAAATTCCTCCTCTAAACATGAAAATTCCTTTCCCTTTCATTTTGATATTTCCAAGGAAAATATTCCTACATTCCTAAAAGTTTATACATACTCCTATTTCACTTGTATAGCATGTCCCAAGTACTTAATATATAATGAGTGTTAACTAATTAATTTATTTGAACTTCACCCTAAAATTCTCACATAGGTGCCCCAAAATTTCTACATAAGTATTAAATAATCATCATCACTAAATAGTTAAAATGACACCTATAATTACACTCGTATTTAATGTACATTTACATGAGTATTCCAACATATATATGTGTCTCATTAAAGATTTTTTGTGAGGGTTACGGTTAGAGAAAGAAAGAATAAACCAATTATAGAGATGGCTAGATGCATGCTTCATGAGAAACGTTTGCCTAAGAAGTATTGGATAGAGGCTATAAATATTACAGTATTCTTGCTAAACGGACTTCCTACCAAAGTAATAGATGAGAATACTCATTTTGAGGCTCGGTATGATTTTAAACCTTCATTGAAACATCTTAAAGTATTTAGATGTTTGTGTTTCACCTATGTACCACGGATTAAAAGGGAAAAGCTTGATAAAAAAAACTAAGCCTTGCATCTTTATGGGATATAGAATAATTTTAAAGGCTTATAGAGTTTTTCAACCAAACATAAGAAAGATTTTGATAAGTAGAGATGTGCATTTCATGGAGAATGAACGGGCGAGACTGGAAAGATGTATATAAAAAAAATTAGATTGTTGATCCTTTAAAAGATCAAGATGAGTTATTGGATGAACATCTTGTAAGAGGTGTCAACTTGCTTTCCAACATCTATCATATAAGTAATTTTGCAATTCTTAAAGTCTGCAGGCTATTAGGAAGTAGAAAAAGATCCTAAATGGAGGGCTACAATGCGAAGGAGCTTAGTATGATCGAAAAGAATCAAACTTGGGAGCTTGTGGAAAGGCTAGAACACGAAAGGTGATAGGTGTCAAATGGGTGTTCAAAATAGAGCTAAATACGGATGGCTCTATCAACAATCTCAAAGCAAGGCTTGTGGTAATAGGGTATGCTTAAATTTTTGGTATGGATTTCTTTGACACATTTGCTCTTGTTACAAAACTAGATATAAGTAGGTTGCTACTGGCTATTACGACATATAAAGGTTGAAAAATCTTCCACTTTGATGTGAAGTTAGCATTTCTAATTGAAATTTTGAAGGAAAAAAATCTATGTTAAGCAACTTGATGGCTTTATTGAGAAAAGGTAAGAGAATAAAGTTTGTCCATTAAAAAAGGCCTTATATGGTCTAAAATAAGCACCAAAGGTCCGGTACAACACGATTGATGAACATCTCGTTAAAGTTAGGCTTTATTAAAATTCTTAGTGAGTCAACCTTATATGTCAAAAGTGATCAATATGACTTTATTGTGCTCTTTTTGTATGTTAATAATTTCTTAGTTATAGGCAACAATACCGAACTCATTGAGCAATTCAAGAAAGAGATGATGAAGGATGGCATACTTTTTGGCATGAAGATTAGACAGAACCGGTAGGATGTGTTTATCTATTAGAGAAAATATACTAAATAAATTCTAAAGAAATTTCAGATGGAGGATTGCAAAACAATGAGCACTCTTATGAACCAAAACAAGAAGCTCAACAAAGAAGATGGTGCGAGAGAAGGTGGAAGAGGCTATTTACACAAGCCTAATTGGATGCTTAATGTACCTTATAGCAATTAAGCCTAACATCTTGCATGTTGTAAGTTTCTTGTCAAGATTCATGCATTGTGCAAGTGAAGCGCATTTCAAAGTAGCAAAACATGTTCTAAGATATGTTAAAGGAACTATGGATTATGGAGTTACGTTCCATTATAGTCAAAATTTTAATTTTCATGGATATTTTGATAGTGATTGGGTAAGGTCCATAAATGACATGAAGAGTACCTCGGGATACTATTTTAGTTTTGGCTCGGGATTATTCTCTTAGTATTCTAAGAAACCGGAGATTATGGCTCGATCAACTATCGAGGCAGAGTTCATTGCTACCACAAATGCTATGAATCAAGCCTTATGGCTTAGGAAAGTTTTGAATGATCTTCATATGGAGCATAAGCAGAGTACAAATATGTTTGTTGACAATTAGGCGACTATTGCAATCTCCAACAATCCTATCTTTCATGGAAAAACTAAACACTTCAACATCAAGTTATATTTCTTAAGATAAGTGTAGAAAAATGGATAAACATATCTTTTGTACTCGCAAGACTAAAAATCAACTTGCTGATATTTTTACAAAAACACTTCCTAAAAGCGAGTTCGAGTTTTTGAGAGAGAAGCTTGGAAACTACAACTACTGGAGCAAGGAGGAGTGTTGCAAATATGTCTCAACAGACTATCGATCGTGCGAAGTTACCGATTAGGCAAGCTTAGGTGGTTGCATATGTTTGCATTTTAAAGCTTTGACCTATTCTTATGGTTTTTGTTATGCATTTTCTTTAGTTGCTAAAAAGTAGTTTTCATGGATTAGATCATGTTCTACATTTGTTTTGTTCATGGATTAGATCATGTAATCATGGTCAATTTTTATTGCTATTTTTAGTTACAATTTTTTGTATTTAAGCACATTTTGATTCAATGAAAATTCATCAATTATCAGCCAATTTTCTTGAGTTCTAAAAGCTTTGTTTTATCAGCTTACTTGGTTTATAGCCCTTAGCTTCACTTGCTGCCTTTGTGAGTTAAGTCCTAAAATTTTTTTATTATAAAGTGCTCTTGGTTGAGGTCGACATAAAAGAACTTGCAGACAAGAAGAATCATAGAAGATGTTGGAGAAAAACAAGAAAAACGAACTATACTGTTTTGTGATAATAAATTAGCTATATTAATGGCAAGAAATCCAATTTTTCACAACAGAACCAACCACATTGCATTCAAATATCTTTTCGTTCGTGAAGCAACTGAGAAAAGAAAGATTGATATTAAATTTTGCAAATCAGAGAAGTAAGTGGCTGGCGTATTTAGAAAAACACTGTCAAAAGAAAATCAACAACTAAGGAATGCATTAGGAGTTCAAGCTCGATATATTAAGAAGAAGAACGTAAAGGTTAATATGTTGTAACTATTTAAAGTTATTGCTAATATCTATTTAATCTTAACTTTAATTAGTGTAACTTGTGTTAAGTTAATGTAATTAGAGTTATCATTAGTGGTGATTAAAGTGAACGAGTATAAGGCTAAGATGTGATGATTTTTAAGTATAAATAGGGTTGAATGTTCTGTAATTGCATAAAAAGACAGGAAAAAGAAAGAAAGGTGGATGAAAAGTATGCAATTTACCCTCCCCTTGTTCGTAGTTGATTCTGCGAAAAATTGCACACTTACGTATTCTTTTAGTACATGCACTTTTGTTGCTGTTTTGACCACACACAAGCTGATTATTCAGCTAACAAACCTGAAGTCTTACAGCAGGTAAAAAAGAGACGAGGAGAAAAAGTAAAGAGGAATAAAGCTTTGCATGAACAAAAGACAAAATCTATTAGTCCAAAGAGTAGGGTTACTCTGCTACAGTACACTGCTTGTCCAACCCAAAGAAGCAGAATATTGTGCAAGCATAGATGCTGTACCAATCCATTAAAGGGTGCACTAAAAGTTGACAAGTCCTTCTCATGGCTCTGCCATAGATGCAATCTCATCACTAACATTGCGTACTTACGTTCCGAAAATTGGTGATAGAAAACAGAAAGTAATTTGTCTTGGGGGGGCCTTTGTTGAAGATAATTCAAATTCAGTCCATCTGTATGTTTTGCTTTCTCCTTCACGAAAATCAATGCTATAGACTCGCATTATATCCTTCCGGTCGTCCCATGCTCTAAATTTTGATGAATCTGCTGCATTTAAAATGCGAAGCTGATAGTTGATTTGACTCATAATGACCTAACTTTTTTCTTCCTTCTCTCATTGGCAAAACCATCAATCCTAATTCCTATCTAACTCTTTCATGTCTACAAACCAAAGTTAGAAGATTGACCAGACATGAAATGCACCTGCTTTATTACCAAAATCAAATTGTTTACTAACTCAACTGACTTACTCTACAAATGTCGTATCCAAACAATGATTGCTTCTGTACTAATATCATTAAATTTCATATACAGAGAGGACAACCTCTAGGGCTGCAATGCAATAATTGAGCGTGAACCACACACATCCAATATTGTCAAATGAAAATGTCACTATAATTAAGCACCAATAACAACAGTTAGGCATAAAAAAAATCATCTGTCATAGCAAATCAAAACAAACAAACTCCACAATCTCTCTTTAAACTTCCTAATCATTCTTTCATTGTCAAGTGACACCATGCAACAAAACACACAGGAATATGTAGCTTGTGGTCCTCTCAACTTTTTTAACCTTTTCCTTAACGCTCTCTCCTACAGGCCTTCATTTTAGTACTTCAAGTGCCACTCCTCACCTTGCTAGCTATAACGCAATACCTCATTTGTGTGATATCCTCCCTAAAATAATGGATGCTAGGACTCTTGAAGGGAAGCGCAACAGTTTGAAAGAAAAAATGATCAATAAAGATGATTTCCTGACTGAGGATGATTTGGAAGATGACATGGAAGAAGATGAGGGTGGCGGCAGTGGTGGTTTCATCGACGATGAAAAGAAGAAAGGAGTCGGTGTTATGTATGGGAAGAGAGGGACTGGTACTGGCGGAGCGTCCCCACCGTCTTGCCAAGTAGAGAAGTGTGGAGCTAATTTAACTGATGCTAAGAGGTACCACAGGAGACATAAAGTTTGCGAGGTTCATGCAAAGTCACCAGCTGTGGTTGTTGCTGGCCTCAGGCAGAGGTTTTGTCAGCAATGCAGCAGGTATTTCTGCTTCATACGTTTTTGTTTAGCTATCTTGCTATCAGTAGAACGTATTTTCTTTTACTAGTAGTCTAGTATTATGGAGACATAGCTTGCGACTTGAAAATGGAAGGGGATTGAGAAGAAATGCGGTATGTTCACACAACAAAATTTCATTTTCCTTGTGCAGCTACTTCTTTGTGAAAAAATATTACCAAGTTTTTTTTCACTTGTAACATTACTGACCCTAAAGAAACTCGTCTGAGTTTAAAGTCAAGCTGAGTTAACTGAATTAGGCAATGTAAGCTCAACGCGAAGACAGTAAGTACCTAACCTATGTGATTTACCGAAGCTAGCAGCAGCTAAAGTTGTTGGAATTACTGGTTCCAAATGCTCAAAGGCTCAAACATATACAAAACAAACTTTTTTCTTTTGATAGTTGTGTTTAAAAACCAAAGGAACAATGGGATTTCTTTAGTATTGCTTAACTGGTATAATTTCTGCAACCTGCTTCGGTTGGATGACAAATGATGGGTTTTCATCTGGATTCCCCAAAAGAAGGTTTGACTGAATTAGGGGTACATTAAATGTAGGTTGCGAATTTAATGGTGCAAGTGTTATGACCCAATTTACTTATACAGTATGAATAGAAATGGTGCTAATTAAACTTGAAAGTTTTTTCTGCTAATCATGGACACAAAATCAGCTGACTGATTAATCTGCTCAAGATTGATGTTCATATATCATGGAACGTTACAAAACTATTGGAGAGGTGCTTTTCGATGTTTGTTCATAGGAGTTGCAGAACCAGTTATCTTTCCGCTCAAAAGATTTTGTAAGATATATGAGCTTTTACCAAGTAATACTTGATTTCTCCTTCTATGCATTTCTATGCAACGACACTTTGACAAGAGAAGTTACTTGAATGTCAATTTCAGCTCATTGCGACCTCTCTCTGTTGAGATCTTTCAGTGACTTACTACGTACAGGGTTCTGTTTAAATTGCTTTCACAAGTCTATAATTATGAGTCTTTGCAGGTTCCATGAGTTATCAGAGTTTGATGAAACAAAGAGGAGCTGCCGTAGGCGTTTGGCAGGACACAATGAGAGGCGCCGGAAGAGCACAGCTGAATCTTATGGAGAAGGCTCAAACCGCAAAGGGGTTGGCACTTCATTGAAAGAAAGTCCGTGCAGGCAAGCTGATGAAAGAGGAAGATTTCAGATAAGCATCCCAACCCAAGGAAGTTCCTCTTACAAGCGATCCCAGATCAGATAAAGACCAAACCAGTGGCTCCCTCTCTTCTGTCAACATATAGCTTAATTCTATCCATGTTTGGGGCCGAATAAAAGGGAACACTTTAACGGGATCGTATGTGCTAGGAGTAATTTAGCCTGGAGTTGTTGTGATGCTGTGTGAGAGAGGCTGTATCATGCTGATTAGGCCTAAAAATTTGCATGTAATATGGTATTTAAGGTTCTACGGGCGTTTGGCTTAGTGGAATCTTGTACCTAGCTATCCTAAAAAGAATATTATTGATTGTACTCTTACTTCTTGCCTAAGTGCAAAAGAACTTTGTTGGATCCATCTTACCAAGAAAACAACATACTTAGTCATTCCAATGCATTGCATATTTCTCTTTCGAACTCCCATCTAAACATCTTTCTGTTTTCCCGTTCCAAGTAGGAAAACTTCATTGCTTGATCCAGCTTAGGATAGGTGTAGCAAAAAATTGCTTCCTAGGTCTGTAAATCCCGAGCCTAACTCATCCAATGAACATTGGTATCATACCTAACCCAACTTCTCCGATGTTTGTGAACCTAGATTGCCAGCTGATACTATCATTTCAATATTTTATTGGTCCAAAACTACTATTCCCTAACTAAACATATACTTCCCATGGGATTCAAAGTATCCATTGCACCTTTTCTTTTCTTTTCTTTTCTTTTTTTCTTCCAGACCGTATCTTGGCAATTTATAGATAAAAGAAGGGGTAAAAAAAGAGGGGCTCAATGTAGCCTAGCCCATAGGATGGGAGGACAAAGAAACTTAAACACCGATCAAAAATTCCCTAACACAAAAAGACCTAGGTATAGGTGTATTAAAGAGCATGCAACATGCTATATGTGAGAAAACTAGAATCTATCCAAAATGCAAACAAAAGAAACCAAGTGGTAACCTACTAAGTTTAAAACAAAAAGCATAACTCATACACAAAAATATATGCAAAATCCATTATTTTGGGCGGTATGTGAATAAGCAATTTGTCTTGAATGAGGGTAGATCTATAAGCCGAGAGGAGATCATTAGTCGAAGTAGCCACTATGAAAGACAAATCTTGGAAAGCCCAATCGCTAACCTATCTACACTCATATTACCTTCCCTATGAATATGTTGAAAAGTCATAGTTGGTGAGATCTTATTCCAACACGATTTGATGGCATAGCTAAGGTGCCAAAGGCATGTCAAGGAGAGAGAAATACATCCTATGACTAGAGAAGAGTCCGATTCTACAATGTCAACCTATAGGTTTCGGTCATAACATAATCTAATTCCTTCTAATAAGGCCAAAGCTTCCCCTTTATAGTAGGTTCCTGGACCATAGGGATTGAAAAAAGCTAGAAGCGGGCTCCTCGTACCATCTTTCAAAACACCTCATATACTGCATATCTTGTTTCTAGAAGCCCCATCCATGTTAATTTTAACTTTCCCTAAAAGAGGAAAGAGTCATTTAATCCACCTCTCTTTATGAGTAGCCATCATTTTTGCTAAATGCCCAACGCTTTCGGATAAATCCCATTACGAAAAGAAATAGACTTTTTTGGGATAAAAAGCATATTCAAGTCCCTAAGCCAATTAAGAACCTTATGTTTGATGGAGATCCAATTCATTTGGATATCCTTATAGATTAAGCATATTCAAGTTTTTTTAGGTAGTGAATGTACCTTGCCTTAACTAGGATCTCATGAGATGAAGCAAGTCTCTAGAAACTAGACTAACATCTAGAGTATTAGCAAAGTAAGACCAAAGTTGACTTACTATAAAACCATATAAAAACAGGTAGTCTCTAGACTCTCTCTTAAATCATCATGTATATTATAAAGGTGTAGAATAAAATAAACAAAATTTCTCCATCTAAGACTCTCAAGATCATGCTATTGAATCAACTAATCATGTATATATTAATAAACAATTAAAGAAATTGTTTACCTCTTGTAGTGTAGAAAAAATCTATGCAAAAAGATGACATCAAAGAATCTAGCATCCGTTGATAATCCATGCGGACTCAAATACCCATACAAAAAGCAATTAGAAACTATTTAATGCTAGCTTCACTTTTTTCTTATATGTCTATTTTTCTTAAGAAATCAATTCAGGATTTTTAATGTGATAACCCTAGAGAGAATGAGAGAGGTGGCAGGCTCGAGGGAGAGAACTCTTTTTTTTTTTCTTAGTTGATCCCGCCTCTCTCTCCCTTATTTATATAGGGGGCGACAACTTCTTCTGAAGGTTAAGGAGATATTACCTATGTGGGCTTTGTCTAACCTTATCTTTGTAAACCCCGAGCCTTATCCAACATGGCTCAAGTTTATCTTTTCATTAAAATATCTTACACGCTTTTAAATTAAGCCTACCGACTCAAACCCTTTTTAGCCTAATTAATTACTAATTAATTTAGACCATCCAAATAAATTTGGTGAGATATTTTAGGAGGCCCACATTAGAAAATAATTTCCCAAATTACCTTTAAACCTAAATTCGAAAACTAATTTCCTTTTCAAGCAACTATCTTTCAAAATTGGAACCGACTTTCAAATTAAGAAACCGATTTCTAAAATAGAAAACTTTCCATTTTAGGAAACTTTTTCTCCAAAATCTTTGCTTCACTTTTATCATGTAAGTATTTAAACTTATGTGTGTGACTCAATAGGCTCCAAGATAAGTATGTAATGTATCAAGAATGAAAGACACCTCTTTTATCTCTTAATATATAAATCAAGATTGAGCTCTAGTAAGACATCATGATCGCCTAATTCTCTAAGAGGATTAATTAATCCATAATTACTTTTATGAGCATGGTTACCTTTCGGGAGTATATCAATTTATCACAATGTGATCTCGAATTTAATTTATTTCCTATTCAATTATGATCACATAAGTTTTCTTCAATGCTCAAATGTCTTAGCTTTAAAGTAAATCAACTATGCTCTATTGGTATACTCCTACCGTGGTAATAGATTTCTTAAATAGGTATTCATCGAAGTGCAATATAATAACTCTTTTAGCATATAAGAAATGACATATCCTATCTTAGTCTTCTACCTATCTCCATTAGATTCCTAGTGCGCCTAACAAATCGTCTTAATGTAGCTCTTAAATGAACCCATCAAAACAAGTGTCAACGTACATAAATCCTCTAACGAGATAACCGTGATGGCTTTAATTTAGAAAACATCTCGTATGAGATTCCCATAGACTAAACTAAATGGGTTCTCATAATGGTCACTTCTAGTTATATGTTATCTAATATTAATCACCTAAGTGCTTAATTTGGTATCACCATGCTAATAGGTGTGAGATCTTCTACCACTGTCTTATAGTAAGAGCATAACACTCATAAGTCTTATTGCATATAGTCAATGTCTATTCTTGATAATACTATGACTTGAGATATTTAATGATATCATTTGAGTGCATTAATGTTTGTCTCACATCTTTTGATCAATCATCAATGCAATGCATATCATATGGACTTCTATCCGATTCTATCAAATTGAAAACAATAAGAATTAATAGAAAGACTTCTTTTATTAATAAATAAAAAATACAATATTATAATAAATCAACCATCCAAACAAGATTGGATCTAGAGCACCTACACTAATAATCTATTACTTGCACTAGAGCCAACCAGCCATGTCACTTATGCCCAATGATTGAATAAGGATCTCATATTTTTGTTATGAAAAAAACTTAGCTAAGGGGTCAGCTATGTTGCCCTTAGTATGGATCTTTTCTATCCTTATATCACCATGATTGATAATCTTTCTAATCGAGTGATAACATCATAGTACATGCTTACATCATTGATGAGATCTTAGTTCCTTAACTTGTGTTATGGCTCGTTATTGTCACGATATAATATTATTGGATCAACAATATTAGGAACAACTTATAGTCTAGATAGAAATTTATGAATCCAAACAGACTTCCTTAGTTGCTTCTACGACTATAATATATTCATCCTCGATTGTTGAATCAACTACTATTTCTTAGTTAGAACTTTTCTAGCTAAAAACACCACCATTTAATTAGAAAATAAATCCTAATTATAACTTAAAATCATCATGATCAGTTTACAAACTAGCATATGTTAATCCTTTCACTACTACATCTTCTCCATAGATCAAGAAAATATCTATAGTATCCATGACCTAAAGCCCTATTAGAAATGCAATTGTGATGCATTAATATTTTGTTTAATTAATAAAAAGTGTTTTTATTGAACGATTAAGTAAGACTAAAGGTTTAAGTCATTTATTGAAATAATTAAGAAAACTTAGGGACTTGAATAAGTTTAGGATTGGCCTAGATGAAGGCCAAATTGTTGGAAAATGTAAAAATTATGGATTGAAAAGTTCATGGTCAATTGCAAGGATTCAAAGTTGGAGGACTCAAGTATTAAGTGTCAATTAAGTGAGGGATCCCCTAGTTGAACTAATGGGATAAAATGGGAAGAAAAAGCTAGAAATCTAGATTTTTAAAGGTAGAAAAATATGAAGAGAGAAAAAGGGAAAGAAAAAAGGAAGAAAAGAGAGAGAAGCCCTAAATTGAAAGAAGGAAAACCTTACCCATCCAAATCCAACCCTTTCAATTAGTTTAACCCACTTAGAAACACCTCAAATTAGCCACCAAACCATCTAAGAAGATCAAGCAAGGAGAAAGGGAGAATTTCTCTAATTTGGCTGAAATTTAGACGGAAGGAGAAAGAAAAAGCTGAGGAAAGGAAGGAAAAAAGCCAAAATTCTAAGTAAGGTAAAGTGTAATTCCTCACATACTACATAAGAATTTATTGTTTAAAGGATAATTAGTGATAATTTAGGGTTTGTTGATGAAGGATTAGTTAATATGTATTGAGAATTATGTGCAAATGATTGAATTACAATAGTTTTGTGATGTATATATGTTTGTAATGTAAAGAAATGATATTGAAATGTTTGAATTATGTGAATGTTTATGCTTGAATTATGTCCTTACTCCATGAACAAGTGGATGAA